TTCCTGCTTGAGTACAAGCTATCTCGGCTCCACACAATAAAGGACTGATCAAACCTAGGCATAAAGCTTCCACACAAGATTGCTGATTACTGATGTTAATGAATGCCTTCAATGTTGCAATTCCAGTAGTCATTATTCCTGTCCAACCTCATTATTAGATAAGCACAGGGGAGCATGCATTAAAATTTACTTAGGAGCACAAATGTAGATCCAATTTAAGACCTTGTTATTGAACAGGTATAAAAAAATGGGTCATTTAGATAAAAACAAACTGAGGAGAAAAAGTTTAAGCTAAAACTAGACTGGCTACTTTTGAGAAGAGAGAATTAACTTGAACCTCCCTGTGTGTCAGTTCCATGGCAGCCCATGTAGACATAACTGTGTGTTTTCACAGATTAATATGTTACAGGTCATTGAGCTCATTTAGCCATTTGTTAGAACTGGTAAGAAAAGAATGAATGGAGATATTCACACATTGTATTCAAATTAAAATGGCTGTTAAAAAAGTAGTGATTTTCAGAAATTTTCAACCAGATGGTGTAGAAATCAGAAAAAGCTACCTGAAAACGCACAATATTGCCTGTTTTTAAAAAATCTGTCAAAAATTTGACTCTGTAGCTGTTTTTCACTTCTAGTATACAGGAGACATTGTTTATCTCTCCTATCAAATTAATCAGGAGGAAATTAAATCTATGCAGGGAAGATACCCGTACATTTATTCCTTGGCTGTAGATCTTTTGTTAATGAGGAAAAGTAAATACAAAAATTGTCAGAACCTTGTGGTTTACGTGTGCTCTACCTGCTGCTTTGAGTAATGCAGCTGTTACAACAGCAACTTGAGAAGCAAGCTCAACGCATGGATATAGTAACAGATAACCATGACACTTGAAAGATTTTGCAATGGCAGACATACTGCAGAAAATTGCTGCTTCTTCATGATGGCCACTCTCAGGTACAAGAGTTTGAATATACTTTCACAGGCATCACAGCTTGGTGGCATGTTGTATTCTGAATGGCGACAGTCTCCATCCCTTTCCTGGCCAAGCGGAGTCCTTCAGCGAAGTCCACAGACAAACAAGAATCTGTACTACATGTTCTGGAAACTGGAACTATTAGATGAGGGGCTGTGTATCCTCTCAAAAGCAGTGAATGAGAGGACATAGAATAATAGTACTTGTCTTAAAATGGCAGAAGAGTTCCCAGTGCTTTTCCTCATAACAGAAGCAGCACTTCAACAGAACTCAGAGAAATTAAGATCTGATAATGGAAATATCTTTCTGAATGATACCTAACAAACCTCTGGAATGTTCTACCCGATCTTTCAGTGATACATCACTGAAATAAAGATATTAAAAAAAAAAAAGTTTTGAAGTATACAAGTTTGGAAGCCTACTTAGTCCACTTCTCTTCTCTGGGCCATATCATGGAACTCCAGCAAGCTTCTGAAGTCAGGAGACTGTACAAGCAATAACATGTACAGTTGTGCCTAAGTTCAAAGCGTACAAGGTATACAGACCATCAAGACTGAAGGATCCAAGCATCTACTTTTTGACATATGTTTTGCAAGAAAACTTCCTTTACAGACTGGTTATTCCAAAATAGCCTGCTACATCTTCTCCTGAAGCAGCTGACAGCTCCAGCTAGAGCCTGGATACGTGACTACCCTGATCTTTTACAGGACCTACTATGGCAGTTCCTTTGTGGTTACTTCTTGCAGCAGCAAATCCTTTTCCGCACCTTCTGTGCCATTCAGGTTTCTAGTGACTGGCAGAAAGTTAAATCTCTGGTCCCAAACAAATCCTAGGCCATTTCCTGTTGTGGCTACACTTTACAAAACAACAGAACATGGGCATTTTCTAAGCTTTTATTTCACGATCTTTCCTAGCATCACTCTATTCCTTTTCCACAGAAAGCGAGAACTTTACCCAGAACTTAAATTGTGGAATGACTCCCAAAGGAGGTGACGGGCTCACAGCAGCTGAGTCACTCAAAATGTGAACCAACAAATCATCTGTGGTTACAGAGTAGGGACCAACCCTGTGCTTTCAGAGGCAGAAGCACAATGACCCACACTAAATCTGTTCTACTGGCTGATGTGAGGCACATTTTCATAAACCCTTATGATTTTTTTTCCTCTCCCCCTCCCAAAAAAAACCAAAACACCCTAAAACATCACACAGCTTGTTCTGCATCTAATCAGAACTATTAAGAACTCGGTCACATCAAGATGCTGGGCTTCTTATAAGCCACTTGCTCCAGTTTCTTATGCTGGATTCTTCTCCAATGATCTGAGTGGTGCTGAATAATATGCGGGTTATGCAGACAGAAGAAGACAAGTCCTGGAAAACTGCAGCTGTAAATAATGTCACACACAAAACACACTCAGCACGATATCCTGCTGGCATCATCTGGGATGAACAACGCTTAGCCAAAACGTGTATTTATGTACAGGTAGCTAGAATGACAGGAACTCTGCAGATTCGCTGCAAGGTGTTGTCATCTTTGGAAGTGATCTATTTTTATAAATAATATTTCATTTTAAATATAGTAATGGTTGCTATGCCTTCTTGAGCTATATTTTAAGGAGCTGCACAAGCAAGTGAGAATGTATTATCCATGCATATTATATGTGATCGTACTGTTGCTCTGACTGAAACGTTTGAGGATGTGGAGGTGGAGAGGAGCCAAAATGTAACAGTCCATAATGGCTATGTCAGTCCTACCAGGCTGAGGATCCATACAGCCTTCTCTTGCTGAAAGCACTTCTGCTCTCCCACCCTCCTTCTGGGTCAGGTATGGGGGACACTAATCTTCTCCTGGCCTATTTCTGCTGCTTCTACTTCTTCCTACTCCTTCCTGTTCTGAGCTGTTCTGGCTCCAACTCTTCTCTCCTCCTCTGCATTGTCTCATCTATCACCCACCTCTCCATCAGCCTTCCACTGATTTCAAAGCCTGTCTCTCTCTCTCCTCCTCCCAGCTTTTCCTACTTACTTGCATGGTTTCAGCTTGCAAGCTACTGACCTGTGAGCTGCATATTTCCTTACCTCTCTTTTAACCCATGGTTCTAGTTCATCTCTTTCACGTGCCTCAAGGGCTTTTCACTTGTTTTTTCCTCAACCACTGATTACTCTGATTTCTGTTGAACTCCTGTTCTCAGTGCTCACTTCCACAAGCATTCATGACCCCTTCCATCCCTATATACAGACCCTCAGCACAGCCTGCCACAGCTGTGCTGTGTCTCTCCTGCTCCATTGGCACCAGCAACCTCAGAAATCCTCCTGGTTTCTAAATCCTGCCCTTCTTTATTGATATGGCTGTCAATTCCCACCAAGCTTCACGCTCTAACTCCCCACCCCCCTCTTCTGAATGTCAAGGTTTGTCCTAGCAGTCTGCACCATTATTCCTTTGCCAATGTCTGCTCTTTCTGATCTTCCTCTCCTTCTATGGAGAATCACTAGTGGAAATCCTACAGCAAGGCTGACAGCATCTATCTCAAATTCATTCCAAATTCTCAGTGTACATTCCTTTCTTAAATATCTTTAAGAAGAATTCAGCAAATTACCCCATCTAAACACTGTCCCTTGGTAAATCTACAGAACTCTCCTGAAGTAACGTCAAGAGAAACTTTATTTTCAAATGAAAATTTATACGTATCTGAGCTCTTTAAATAGATTTATCAAAGAATGAAAGAATGAATCAAGTCCAAGCTTGGCACATGTGGAGGCAGCTCCTAGTGGATATGAGATAGCAACACGAGAGCAGATCAAGCCTTTTGCTCCCAAACACATAGCCCAGCATGACTACAGCAGTGGAGTCAGGTTCTCAGGGTCTGCATTTTTGGCATCCTCAAGCACTCAAAAGCAGAGGGAACAAGAAAACCATTTTAAATAAATGTATTTGTCTAAGTTTATTTTAGGGACATATTAGGCTCTGATATTAGTTACCATGAGGTCATTCTCATTACAAGAAGCAACACATTTCTGGCTCTTTTCTGTTCCTTGACAACCAATTTCATACACCCATTGGCAGTATTTTCTGGTAGTACTGGCAAGCTCTTGGGTTTTCTTAGCGCTGTCTAGATTTAACTATTCAATGCAAAAGGTGACCTTTTCAAGCCATGCTAAATAAAGCCAATCAGCCTTTCCTGTCATGTCCCATGGCCTTGATCTTGAAAGTCCATGTATGGTCTGCAACAGGCAATGCAAGTCTGTGAACGCTCTGCCTGGGCACAGTTCCTTAAGCGCAGGGGAGAGCTCCCCCTCACAGAGCTCATGAGCTAAGTGTGCCTACTCAAATGCTCTCTGACTGAAGGGAGAAAATGCAAACAAAAAGCAAGAAAAACAGGAAAAAGGTTTTACTCTTCAAGAAAGGATGTTTCTCATTACATGCCTCTGAATAATGCTCAGGGGATATCAAGTTACTTAGCCACATTCTTCCAACTTCAGCGATTCTATTCAGAATTGTTTGCCTGTTTACTAATTTATCAAATACATATAATAAAAGCTTGATACTCCACCATCTCTTCCACACATGGAAGATTTAGTCACATGAATTGCATGTGCCTACTCAAGATGATTTTGAGAAAGCAGGAGTTGCTGTAGGAGGTCAGATCACAGGTACAGTAACTCTGACAGTCTGTCTCTAGGCGCCTTCAGAGGAAGGTCGAGAAATATCAGTTATGCATTATTATATATAGGTTAAAAAAAATTCCTTTCTCCTGAAGGCATCATTATGTGCCTTTTTGCTTGAGGCTACCCTTATCTTACAATTACAAATATTATTCTTTTTTAAGAAGGATATGTATATTTATAAAAGCAAATGGCAGAATGCAACTGCTGTCCTGGGACACAGCATCGCACTTCAGCTGCTGGATTACCAGCATTTTATCATCACTCAGTGCACATGAATGTATATGAATAATGTTCTCTCTTTCATCAGATTGACGGGACAAGTTGCGTAGTTGAAGTGGTATGACACTACTGCCTCTCATTAGTTTTATCTCACTGGACTGGTGGAAGAAAGCAGTATTATCCACAATTGTAGAAAATATCCTCTTAGCTGAGGGAAGGTTTTTCTGAGGGGAGAAGAAAGAATATGAGAACAGAGGGTCATGAAATGTTTGCAGAAAGAATAAAGGATACATGGTATCAAAATGAACTTTGTAAATAAAACAAAGGTTTAATGAAAAATAAAATGCTAGAATGACAAAAGTAAATTAACTCTGCCACGTAAGTCAGGTGCTCGAATAGAAACTGCCTCAAGACTTAATTTAGTGTTAGGTCAGCAAGGATATTTATGTTTTAGTTTAATTTTTTACAAACATTTGCATTTTTTTAAACAAACTTTAGAGTGTTTGGATTATGGGCTTATTCTATAATCAATTTTACAGAAAGAATTTATGAACCAGTAAAGAAAAAAGACAGTGTTCTATCTTTTCTGTTGCCGCTTAATTACTGATACAGGAAATCGTTTGCCTATTCTCAATTTCATTTGATAGAACAAAACCCCTAAGCAATAAAACTAAGGTCCAAGAAAAATATTTAGCTTGAAAAAGGTTGAAAAATGTACCCTTGGAAATACCACTGCTTACATGGGATTGTTCCACAAATTCCTGTTGTGTGAGGTTTGGCATATACTTACTAAAAATACAAGCATCTGGGGAAACCAGACAAAGCCCAGGTCTTGGACCAAACGAGGCATTCAGCATGTATCTGTTAGTGATTATATCCATAATGAAATATGTGCCCAAATTTAGCAGTACAAAACCCCCAATACAGTATGAAAACACAGCATGTACAGCCCTTACCATAAAATATAGCCAATAGCGAAGGTGCACACTGCAGCCAGTCCACAGCTCCTGCTGGGATACTGATGATGTGTTGTTCTCATCTCGATTAATACAAAGGGCAAAACTGTTGTATGCTGAAAAAAACCAAAACAACAGGGGAAAAACAGGTGATACAAATGATTCTCACTGCATTTCCATGACAGTTTCTTGATGGTTAGAAAGATGAGGTAAAATGACTCTATAAAGTCGATCAACAACCTGAACAGTATCGTCACTATAATGTCCAATTGTTTGAGAGAGCAGAGGAAAACTGAGTGAGCAGGACTTGCTTTTCCTTTAGTCCAAGAATCCAAGGCAGATACTCAGTGAGTAAAAAGGGGATGTGGCAAGAGGGGACATGGGTCCTAGTCCGAATTTGGCCTTGCAGCTGCTCTGTGAGCTTCACCACGTCACTTTGGTTATTTTGACCATTTGAGCTAGGAAACAACACATCTGATTTTCAGAAACTCTAGGCACAAACAATGCCAAATGAATGAATATAAATGGAGGTATTTGATGCTTCTGAGAATTGGGTTTAAATGTATCTCAGTCTGGGGACTTGAAAACAAGGGACATATTTTCAAATGATAGCCTCAATACCTCTGTTTCTCCATCTGTAAGACATGAGCAATTAACTTCCTTGGAAAGGTGTTGTGAATCTTAATTTGTTAGTTGTTGTACAAAATGGTTTTAGAGTCCCAGATGAAACATATGAAAGCTAAAGCTGTAGAAACCATTTTCGGCCACTTGTCTCTATTTAGCTGTGAAAGCCCTTATTTTGTCATTTTTTCATATACATTTCCTACACTGCCCCATCTGAGAAGATCTGTTCATCCAGTTAATGTCAATGGCATGAAAAATTGCATCTAGCCTCCCCTCAACACTTGATGTCTGGATTTCAGAGGGCTAGCAGGCACGAAAATATACATAAACGAACCACAAAGGTGCCAGGAAAGAAACCCCATCATTTTCCGATACACAGCTCACCTAGAACCAGCGTTGCTGGTGACTCCAGAAACATACCCTGCCTTGCCACCATGTGGACAAGTTATTGCTTGTGTCTAAAGGGAACTACTTGGATTCAGAGCTTGGCCCTGGGGCTTGGCGTGACTGCCACTGTGAACTCTCCTGCCCAGTTCACTGGGAGGTCTGCAGGTGTGAGGACTGCAAGGGCAGCCTAAGCCATAAACCATGTTCAATCCTTCCCCAGCACTTGGTCACCAACTGGAAAAGAAGGTTATGGCTTACATTGGGCACAGACACACACATTTAGTTCTGGGGGGAGCTGGAGGGCCAAATTAGTAATAATTACACCGTAAACACGCACCAATTTTCACCAACACTAAGGCAGGACAGACGTGGAGCAGAAATATCCTTGTGTGGATAACAGGTCCAAATGAGAGGAAACAGAGCGGGGTGAGAGCCTTGAACAACTGTGGAGAAGGAAGAATTGTTTGAATGGGAAATGATAAGACAATGGAAATGCTCTGGCTCAGAGATGTAATTTGAATCCGGTAACTGCTCTGATTTCCAAGGCATTAATAATTAATGACTAGCATTTGGAGAATGTCAGGTGGATAACAGAGCAGCTAGGGGAGCTTTTAATTTCTTCATCTTTTAACAACTCATTCCACCCCCATCCCTTTAAACAGTAGAAATCAGCAACAAGGGAATGCAAAGAAGTTTTACATGTGGTCTGCAGTAGAGATGCCCACTATTAGATGAGAGGTCTATAAACTGCACAGGATCTTCAGAGACCATTAACAGGGACTGACAGCAAAGCAAGCCCTGGAGATTCACCTGTGCATCTTGCATCTGTATGAAAAAGGTCTTCAGACAGAGATCGGTACCTCCTTCTGCAGAGCCACGAAACAGGGTAGCTGGAGGCTGTGAAAACGTCTCCTGCCCTGCCTCCACAACCTCTTCAGAGAAAAAAACCACAAGACCACAAAGACTTCTAACTCCAAACCCCATCCCTAGTATTTCTTGTACGATATATTCTTGTGATCCCCTTAGTTTCAATTCTTCACTATATGGATGATGGTGACAGAGCGTGAGAGCTCCGTTTCTCAATTTAAATGTTTACTGCTTTAGATACTGCTTGCTGATCACTGATGATAACAACTCAACAGCTTGCCAATTAAAAAGTAGTTAAAATAATTTCAGCAATCAACACTTAATCTAGAGTCCTTTTCTCTTTTCCCTCCTCCCATTTCCTGTGGTTATATAATAAAATAGGTCATTATGTTCCTAAATTCTCCCTTCTGCTCTTTTCTAAAGGTAAGGGGCAGGGGGTGGGGGGTAAGAGGATAATGAGCTGTACCACTAAAGAGTTTATGCACAAAATCCTATCAAAAGTAGAGAGCAATTAAAAGTGTAAGGAGAAAATCAGAGACGTGAATCTTTAATCTTAGTCTGTTATGGCAAATGTCAATGCTACCTGCAAACACTGCAGTTTTACAAATCCAGAGTATGAACTTTGGTTTAAAATTTGGTTCCAGTGAAATTGTCATTCTAAAAAGCTGCTACAGATGCTTCACCCAAACTACAACCAAGATAAAATTTCCCTTTCCTACATTTCAGCTCCTCCAAAAGCCTTAATTTAGAAAACATGAAATTTTGTAGGCAGAGTTACCTTCTGTCAAACTGTGCCAATTAAAACTCTGGAGCTATAAATACTGAATGTGAATCAGACTGGCACCTGGACTGAAGCCTAGCGAAGGGGAGCAGAGGTCAAATGTGCTTGAAGTGGGATCCATCAGGGCTGGGAAAGCTGCAGGAGGCCAGAAATTTCATCCCTTTAACGTTTTTGCTACCTGATTTCTGAATAAACTTGGGCCACTGGGAATCTGAGGCTTAGCGAGAAAGTACCGTTGCTGCTTCCTTGACCTGTTTGTTAATGAACACGCCTTGTCGATCAAAGATGCCCAACTGGTATCTCTGGGACTGATGCCTTTTACTTTCTGGCAGGCTGAAGGACAGCACAACATTTCTCACCTTGTTTGTCAGAGCATCTACTTGAGAGAAGACTAAGAGATGAGGAAGTTCAAATAACAAGGAGGTTTAAATGGTGAGGATGATAGGCTGCTGTAGCAGCTTTCCAGAACTTGTCATTTTGGACCATTTAAAGTCTTTAAGAAAAGGGTAAATTTATAATTAGAGTAGTATAGTATTATAATAGTACTAAACTATGTTAGCACTAGTGATCAATGCTATATTGATAAAGCCTTTTTATTAGGGACTAAGTATTTACAAGCAAAGCTGCATTTTCACCTGGACAGCTTTTTCTGCTCCCACTGAGACCAGCTGTTCCCATGAGAGAGCTCTGCCTGTGTGGCTGTGCTGACGCTGGAGCCTTGAGCCGAGCAATGCTGTGGGTACATCAGGGAGCACTCTCTCCACCAGCCAGGAAGGTGACACTCGCTGCTTGTACACCCTGGGGTGACCACAGGCTTGGGGTAGCCCCCAGCCCTGCCTGGGAAGCAGAGAGGGAGCTAATGAACCCTACCATCAGCAGGAGCTCTTAGCTTGGGCTCAGTAACTACATCTATTAGCAAGAAGATGTACTCTGCTGGCTTCTCCTGCCACAACTGCAGTGCTGCTTCTGAATGAAGCTGAATCAGCGCACACTTGCAAAGAAGCCACCAAGAAACCTGCAGGTGGATTAATTCCTAGAACCACTGCCATCACTTCCTGAGAGAAACGTGGCTCATTAGTGACTCTGAGATTTTAAAAATATGCACCACGTCCCCCATGGTATGTATGCACCTAATGACATTTGAGACTGGAAAATTACTACAAATAGGCAGCACATCTGTAGTGATTGCTTGACAAGTTAATCTCTGATGGAGGACTGCGCTTCCCCATTTTAGATGTGTGCTGCAACAAGTAGTTGGAAAAAGAGATTTTATGCAAATCAGGTACATTAGAAGAGTTCTGTAGTAGTCTTTAGGCAAATTAAGTGCTTATTCTTGAAAGTCTGATTATATATTTTATCTTCCAGCCAGTAAGTGTTGCTTTTTTTAACACAGTTTTCATCAGTACCTTCCTTGGCCTTTTCTCCTTCCTTAACTGCGTTTTAAAGGGAATGTCAGTCTTTCAATAGGTGCTAAACTGACATCTCTGTTTATTGCTATCTTCTGTCCTTAGCACAAACGTGGCAGTGCTGTCTTCCCAAGTCACCTAGTCCTGATCTGCAGAGACTGTCCAGAACTACCTTTCTGACAAGGAGTTCAAAAAAGCATCTGTCTTCTCAGATGCCAAATCAGTACACAGCAGTTCTGCAGGGATGGTGAAACCATTTGGGAATCATGTAAACTGTGGTTATAATTCACTTTAACTGACAGAAGACTGCGACTTGTTACTCAATGTGATCAGACTGAGAACTGCAGGGTACAGGACATTTCAGTTCAATGAAAATAGTGTGGACCTCTGTTGAGAGGGCGGCAGTGTAACATTCAGCCCACATGAGTCGTTGGAAACTTGAGAAAGGAGGCCTTGCAGATTTGATGTCACCAACACTTTGACTGATGGACCAGGAGTCTCCTGGAAATGCTGGTGCTCCCCGGAGCAAGGAGGCTGCAGATGGGTCTTCACCCACAGAACTTGTGAAGCCTGGGACCTGGAGGGCTGTATCCACCACCCGAAGCTGCATTCGCATCAAATCCTCTGCCTTGGCATGGGCAGCTGCTCCAAGATCTGCTGTAGAACCCGCCCCACGGCACACCGCCATTGTGACCAAGACTTACACTGGTACAAATCTGACAGAGGCCTCCTTCTTTGCACCCTGCTGCATGAACTGCTGTGCAAACTGCTGCATTTGCTTTCTGTCTTTCTAAGTTCCTCTCCAAAATCTCGTTTCCATCAATAGGATGTTAGCCTTCACTTTTTCCCCCCCTGAGCTCACACCTAGATTACATGTTGTTAAACAGCTGCTGCATGTCAGAATGAGTGAAGCAATCCATCTGCATCTCCTCCTTACCTCTCGGGGATTTGTGCACCACCCTGAGACTAAAGGTTTTACAGAAATGACCAGTAAAATTACCTATGTGCATTCCTCTTAATTTAAAATCACTGCTTCTGTATTCACCTTAGAAACCTATACTAATAAGCCTAAAAATCCCTTCAGTTGTAGTCAGCGCCATTTGTAGAGTAACAGCAGTAATAAAACTGCATTTTCTGCATGCTCCTAGCATTTCCTGGAGAACCAGATCAGGAACTAGTAAAACAAGGGGCACGATTATGATTTACTCATTGAGAAACTTCTGAGAAAGGAACAGCTGGCAAAAGAGTATTTATGTATCCTCTGAAGGATGATACCTTCCACCAAGGCAGCCTAATCCATAAAGAGAGCAGCAGGATATCAGAGCTGGGTACATAATAAATTGGAATCCTTGAGTGAGTTTGAGCCCTTCTGAGACTGAAAGTGCTGGTAGCACTTTTCCTTTTACGAATGAGAAATTATGACTATTAACCAAGGCACGCTGATGCACAGGATGCACTCCAAGGCAGCCACAGACATCTCGTTAATTGTTATTATAGGTTGGAGGGAGGAAGAAGTACTGATGATCGAAACAAAGACCAATACCCTGTAATGTCACAAAACACACAAGAGGCAGAGATAACCATTTTCAATCAATATAAGAGTGCAGAGTTCTTCAAATAGAAAATTAACACTTCCTCTTTAATGTTACCCCCCTTTTCCTCTTTTATGTAGATAAATACAGTGGACATGGCATATCTGATTTAAATGGAATTGTATCACTTTCTCCACGCATACCTAAAGTTGACAGGTTTGTTCTCGTTGTTTCTGACACATGCAGTACATGCTATATATTGAAATAGCAGCAATCTCATCTCACCCCTATGGCTGCACCAGTGTCAGGGAGGTTATATATAGGTGTTTATCTATAGAATTTCCACAGTGCCAGTCACTGAAGCACTTCAGCACCTCAAAAGCATTACTAAACATACCCTCACAGCAGCGCTGATCTGTAGGGGCAGGATATCCTATACCCATTTTTTGCAGGAGAGTAAGATGGACATGGCACGCCTCACTCGAAGTTACGCAGGGTAGCTATGGAGGAATGGAGAACCACATCATATTCCTCAGTTCCATTCTTGGATGTCAGCCTAAGATGAGCGAGCACGTATAGAGAAGTAACAAAAATTTGAGATGAAAGCCAATCTACTCATTCAAGTTTATAGCTCTGAGACAACTTGGCCCTTTAAGCGTCTCTCAGTTGTTACCTTGATCGACCCTCTGTCCTGGTTCCCCTTTACTTTTGGAGGCTTCTTCAATTGCCTCCTCTGAACTGTCTGTCCCTCTCCCATCTCAGCTCCTGCTGCTTCAAGCTGCTTCCTTGCAACTCCCATTCTACCAGCCCGAGCAACCCCCCTGCGGCCTCCTGGCCCTGACTCAGCAGCTCCCAGGGTGATGCCTCCTCACTTCTGTCTTGGCCTCTTTCAGTTACCACAGGTCCTCCCTTCACATCTATCAGTATGTCTGACAGGCACAGGTAATGCCTTAACTTGACACATCAAAATCCTGGGCACTTGGACTTGAAACAAGATGATGGCAAGATCAGATGGGACAAGACACAGCACATAGCAAAACTGCACAAAACCGGTGCCACATTGCCAAATGGAACAGCATTGCTACATGCTTCATTTTCTTTAACTTTGTATAAATCAATATAACTACTTTTAATGCATGTCATGTATCCAGAGATCACTAAACACATGCAAAGTGCAATACCACATAAGCCACCTCTCTCTTTTTTCTGGGATCCCTTAGCTAGATTTTCTGTTCTTTCTGTGCTGTGCCCAAACTCCCCAGTCAGCATGCACTACTGTCAGGAGACTTTTAAAATACCAGAGAATCAGCAAAGCCCAGGTTCTGTGCACTCAGACACAGCTGAACAAACTGCGAACCCCCATTTACTTTCTTCAAGTCCTTATTTTTTGCTACAAGATCCTTAGAAAAAACACGTCACCAACAATGTAGAACACACACAGATGTACATCTTGTGCGAGGATCACTCATTGATCACAATGTTATGCTATAATTTTTCTACATATTTTGCTCAGCTTTTTTGCCTCTTACCAGTTTAACTACTTACCCTAGACTGCTTTAAACTAATATTTGCAAAAAGGTTTGTCTATGCAAATAAATACATACTTATCTTTTACAATTATCCTTAAAATCAGTGCTTACACACACACACACGTATCACCAAGATTTAATTTGCCTGAATGAACGTTGGCTGTTTACGCAAGTCATGCTGAAAAAGTGCTAGTAAAGTCATCACGCCTCACGTATTCCTAGTACATATGTCACTAAAGAAAGTTTGCAGATGTGTTTTAGCAATGGTTTTAAACAATTTTACTCATACGGAAAATAGTATTCCTCTCCTTGAAAAGCCAACTCCTTCCATATCATGAGTCTAATTGCACAGGCCTCAAGAGGAGAAAGCAATTTGTATATTTTGCAATATATATATATATATATATATATTGGAATATATATACTTGCAATTTGACCATGAGCCAGCACTGTGCCCTTGTGGCCAAGAAGGCCAATGGCATCCTGGGGTGTATCAGGAGGGGGGTGGTTAGTAGGTCAAGAGAGGTTCTCCTCCCCCTCTACTCTGCCCTGGTGAGACCGCATCTGGAATACTGTGTTCAGCTCTGGGCCCCTCAGTTCAAGAAGGACAGGGAACTGCTGGAGAGAGTCCAGTGTAGGGCTACAAAGATAATTAAGGGAGTGGAGCATCTCCCTTATGAGGAGCGGCTGAGGGAGCTGGGTCTCTTTAGTTTGCCGAAGAGGACACTGAGGGGAGACCTCATTCATGTTTATAAATATATAAAGGGTGAGTGTCACGAGGATGGAGCCAGGCTCTTCTCGGTGACAAACAATGATAGGACAAGGGGTAATGGGCACAAGCTGGAACACAGGAGGTTCCACTTAAATTTGAGAAGAAACTTCTTCTCAGTGAGGGTGACAGATCACTGGAACAGGCTGTCTGGAGAGGTTGTGGAGTCTCCTTCTCTGGAGACATTCAAAACCCGCCTGGATGCCTTCCTGTGTAACCTCATCTAGGTGTTCCTGCTCCGGCAGGGGGATTGAACTAGATGATCTTTTGAGGTCCCTTCCAAACCCTAATGTTCTGTGATTCTGTGATTCTGTGATTCTGTATCAATATGTTTTCTAAATCTCTTTAACTGACTTTAAAAGTTTATCTGAACATCAAGTATACCATGTTAAATTCTACTATCTGGCAATCTCCCAGGGCCAGCACTAAGGCCTTCACTGAAGGATATTTTTGGCTTCATGGTAGCCAAAGTATCCTCTTTCTAACCTGAAGACATTGGACTCTGAATCTGTCACTGGTCCAGGACTGAATACTGCTTGTCCTGGGCTTCGGGCCAGTACAATTTGGGGAAAGAAATTCCACATTTGGGAAAATCAAGAAACCATTAGTTGGCAGTTTCTTTTTCAAATGGTGGCTCTCTGATGCTATTCAGAAATGTAAAATCTTGGAAGTGGCTACTGAGGAGGTGGATTTATTGGGTGTTGTGCAGGTGAGGTAGCCAAAGGTCAGACTTTGGTGTATCACATGGTGACTGCAACTATCTGCAACTTTGCTCAAACAATTTGTCTCACAGACATTGTCATGATCTTTATTTAATCATTCTTTATATTAAACATACAAACTCCTTTAATAAATAAATCTAGAGGACGTAACCTCCAAAGCTTTTTAGTTCTCTTATTGTAGAAAGCAGCAGCAGACTAACGTGAGCATGGTCTCCTTACTGCACCCTGCACTCTGTCTGTGTCCTGGCTTCAGTTTTGGCTGGGAAAGAGTTAATTTTCTTCCTAGTCGTTGCAGCCAGTTTTGCATGATGTGCATTGCCCTGCATTTTCTAACCAGCAGTACCCCACTGTGAGGCAGAGATGCAGGAGGGAAGAGCTTCTCAAGCGAGGGTGCAGGTGCCCCTGGCCCAAGCGCTGCAGCAGCATCAGCTCTGCATTTCTCCAGCCTGTGCCATGGCACAGGGCTAAACTGTGCAGTGGCAGCTGGGCGCTGGCAGCTCCTGTAGAGTGACCTGATGACCGGTGATAAGCTGTGGCCAGGCACCAAAGCAGCTCCCAGCTCTGCAATTGCCTTTGCAGACAGCATCTGCTGCAGGGAAAAAAACCCAACCCCTGCTGGTCTCATACTCTCTGCTCAGAATGCAGAAGCCGGGCCAGGGCAGGGTCTAGAGACACCACAATGAGTAAGACCAGGAGTGATGTGCTTTCAATGGGTAAGGCAATAGCATGTGCTGGGGTGCAGGGAAGGGAGGATAAGTGGTGAGGGTGTAGGGGAGGCAGGAGGTATGGGATGGGGTCTTGCTCCCGAGGCAGCACGGAAAACTTGTTGAGAGGGAAAATGAGTTGGTGCAGGAAGGCAGAGGAAGAGAGACAGAGATGCAGCCCTGCTTGTGTGTCTCCTAGAGCTGCTTCTCCTCTGCAAAGAAGGCACGCAAGGCAAGCAAGTCTGAAGAACATCCTGAACTAAGGTCTTCTGTCATGAAAACACACTGATATTCCATACTTGTCTTACCTACTGTATGACATACTATATTTAGGAGAATCATTCTGCTTCAAATGCAATGTTTTAAATGCTGTTGTTCATGTTAAAACAATTGTAATTTTGATTGATAGTAAAAGCCTACACACCATAGTAA